CCGCCGGTGCGGTGGCCGGCGGCAGCCGGAGGTGGCAGCAAGGGCCTTTGCAAGAAGAGAGAAAAATATATTTTAAAAGAAAAACCTAAGCTCTGATACCATGTTGTGATTCAGGAATTGTGTGTATTGTTGTACACATACCAATCTTATTTATAGAGTGAATACAATAAATGATAGAGATACTAATCTCTAATATTATGGAAACTAATCTAATCATATCCCTAATTGATAGTGAGGATAATAGCCCATAATATATGTATCCACAATATCTGTAATATATTCACAATATCTGTAACATATATAATATACCAATGCACCATCATTCATTCAACAATAGCATATCAATCATACAAAGCATATCAATGCTCATCACCATTTCAACTACACAAAGATAGCATACAACATGCAATAGGCACAAGTATTCTATTCATGTTCACCAAATTCACCCATCATACAAAATGTATCAACATTCAACTCATCAAAATCTCGTCTTACACTGACAATCTTTGCATAAAACAACCTATAGGGAGTTCTATTACTCCTATTATGTTCATCTTTATCTCATATGAAAGACAAGAATATTTTTTACAACTTTCATGAAGAACTCATGTTCTAATTCCCTCATTTACCATGTTAAAAATTGTAAAAACTGCAATAGTTTGCCTAAATGTTGACAGCTTGACTTTTGTTCACTAAAAAAGTAATAATTGGAGTTCTAGACCTCATTTTTAGGTGATTCCAACGCCATTGAAAAGCTAACATCCAAGACTATAACTTTAATGAAAACAATAAAGTCTAATTTGGAAAGCATTAAACTGCCTAGCGCTTCTTAAAGCGCTCAACACTTTGCCTCTAGGGATCTCCCTGTCACGCAGCTCCCAAAGGGCTCAGACCTTTCAAATGGCTCAACCCTTTCAAAAGCCCTCTGCCATTTCCAAACGGCTCAACCCTTTGCCTACAGGGATTTCCCTTGTCACGTGGCCCCCAAAGGGCTCAACCCTTTCAAATGGCTTAGCCTTTTGCCTACATAGGGCATCCCTGTTCTTCATCATTTTTGGACTTCTGCACCTGAAACTTGGAAAAATTCAACATGTAATGGAAGAAATAGCATCCATGCACCAAAAACAACTCAATTCAAGTCCCAGAAACAACATGCAACCATGAATTTTCCCCAAGATCATCAATTCACCTCACATGCAACAAAACCTCAAAACCCCCAATATTCAACATGTAACCCCTTGAATCCATCTCCACAGTTGTAGATTTAAGAGATTTTATCAACAATAAGCTTTTAATTCATTCAATAGTTCAATGATTCAACCAAAAATCCAATGTTCTAACTTCCCTTATCTCGAAACGAAGTGAAACTGAAGAACTCCGAGGTAGAAGAAGAACAACCGGCTCTGCATGAATTCAACGGCTTGATTTGAGGTTTCTACTACCTGAATCACATCAACACCACTAATAAATTGGGAAGAAGAGAAGAAGATTGAGAGAAAAAAAGTTCACGGATCAAAGACCTTCTCTCTAGAATTCTCTCTCTAGAAAAGCTAAGGGAAAGAGTTTATAAGGTTCTATTCAAAACAGAAACCTTATATACTCTTTCCTCCAGGGTCAAATTGAGTATCTGCCCAGAGAACCCCCACTCAAGTTAGACCTCACACATATAGCTATCTTTTTATCCATGGGAATAACAGATGAAAGACAAATTTTGCTACTCTAAATATCAACTGTGTTTCTAACTCTCCTTCAAGGCAACGCTACTTGGTCTAAATAAAGCTTGGTAAAAAGTACAAAAAAACTTGTTCAACATGATTACAAGGCAGCAACCCTTTGCCAATTTTTTGTTTGATTTATGAATTTGAAATGTTATAGTGCCAGAATTAGAATTGTCATTTTACTTGTATATATTAAAAAGGACAGATCCACCTTTTGAATTGTCTAGTTACCTTGTACAAGAGTTGTGTAACCTTTATCTCTTGATGTAATTTTTGCAGGTGTTAGAGCTGATGCAGAGAATCTTATTGCAGAAACATGTGATGCTAATATAAATCGGATCATATCAGACAGATCAAGGTCAATTAACCGAAAATCTTTGCCTGAACTTTTTGTTGAATTCCTAAGGAAGGTAGATCATTCTTTTCTTAATTTTATACTTTCAATTGGATTTGGTAAAATATGTTTGAATGCTCTCTGCGTTTAATATCTGGTATTTTTCCATGCACTTGATCATACAGTTCATAGCTGATAATTTTAAAAGCTATATGTCCTCTTTTCCCCATACCTCGGGTATCATGTATTCATTGGCCCAATTTTTGTTTGATTTATGAATAGCTAACATTTTATATATATATTGAGGCTCTATGGCAATGGATTTCATCAATCTATAGTACTTCTACGCATTATTTACATAAAATATCGATTACAGCATGTTGTATGTTCCTGCAGTTTGCTCAGATGGATTCATGGGCATCGGAGCTAGGAATATGCCCGCATACTGGTCAATGGGAACAGATAAAGAACAACATGAGATGGCTACCCCAGACTTATGCAATATTTGTAATACCCAGCTCACTTTAACAATTTGTTACTCTCTACTTCTTTATGGTGATTCCATGGTTTTGTTTTGGGGGATATAGGCTATGTTTAGTTATTGCCACAATAATACTTGATTCCTTTTAGGCTTTCCTATGATCCAATGCTAGATTCTATCATACAAATGTTCTCTTGCTCTGCTATTGATATTTGTAACCGACTTTTTGATTGGTTAGGTTGAGGATCCTTTTGAGCAGCCACAAAATACTGCGAGATCTGTCAGTGCAGGACAGCTGAAGAAGATATCTGAGGCATTTTTAAGGACGTACAGCTTGCTTATCTCAAAAAATCAGAATCAAAATTCACTTTTGGCCACCTTAGCACCACCATATGTATTAAGATGTCTCACAAAACCTCCCAACAGAAATTACAACGGTCCTATCAGAAATTACAGTGGAGGTTACTTTCAACGAACGCAACCACAAGTGCAGAGATTCATACGCCCACCACCGCCATTGCAACGTCATGTTCAAAATGCCAGTCAAGGAACAAGCTCCAATGGTTCATCGTCAAAAGGACCGGTGCAGGCACAGGCACAGGTGCAAAATGCCAGTCACGGAACAAGCTCCAACAGTCTGTCGTCAAAAGGACAGGTGCAGTTGCAGGCACAGGGACAGGCGCAAATATGGAGGCCAAAGAGTCAAAAGGAATCTCTATAGCACTGAGAACAACATGGTTTTAGCTTCAGCAGGTTTTGACTATTGCCTTTCAGTTTACTTGTTAATGTCAAGTGATTGGAAGAAATGGGATTTTGATTTTTTTTTTGCCCTTGGGAATCAGTAAGTGATTAACCGTGTTTGGTGGGCATTATCTTATTATAACTCTGATGTACTTGTGGTAACATTCGGAAGGTGCAACTTTGCATATGAATCAGATAAGTTGATTTGTTCGTTTACTAAGTTGCCTTAGAGTAGTATTCGCAACCAACAAAGATTAAGGTTATGTTTGGTGTCACGTTTGAAACTTGTAATCCGAGTTAGTTTGTCCTCAAACGCATTGTCACTGTCTGCATTAGGAGTGGGGAAAAAATTAAATTAAATTTTGAACTTTGTTTAAAAAAGTGAACTAAATTGTTTATAAAAAATTTGACGGAACAGTTTGAAAATTGAATTAAATTAAATTACAAAAGATGAACTATTTTTATAAAAAGATAAAAACCAGATGTTTAAAATGGTCTGTCTTGATGGGTTAGTCCCAATAGTTTGACAACCTAGGCTTTGAAAAAAGTGACTTAAAAAAATTGGGTCAATTTGGTTGAATCTGGTTGACTAATTAGATTATGCTAGGTGACTAATTTTTTTACTTGAAATCTATTGGGTTTATTTGGCTTTATCTTTATATATATAATTCCTTTGAAAAATTTAAATAAAATAAAAATTAAAGTTGACGAATTTATCCTATTTTGATGGATCATTGGGTAAAAATAGTTTAACTAAAAATATTATAATAGTTAAATGTCATTTGAATTGTAATTTAGTTTTAATTCAGTTTAATAAAAAATAATTTATTTTGTCTAAACTAAAATGTAGTTTAGTTTAGACGAATTTCTTTTAAGTTCAGGATAAGTTTTGTAAGTTTAGTTGAATCAAAAGTTAGAAAGGTGTTATTTTTTTTTAAGTAAGTTTAAAAAGTTATGTTAAATTTATCTTAATTTTATAACTATAATCCAATAAGAACACGTAAAGAGAACGAGAAACGGCAACAATATACTTTTTTGACACACTGTTATTTTTTATGATTTGGTGAATATTAAAGAGGCTAGTATTAGTATTCAGTTTTTACTTACAAGAAATTGCGTTTTCTTTCTGGTCGACACTCGACAAGAAATTACGAGCACAGTTGTCTATTGGGCTTAGAAACATTATAAACATTTTTTTCTTTAAAAACAAACCCCATTTTTTACTTTGGGCTATTGTCTCTTACTCTTTCAGGACGAGTTAATGGCAGTCTGCTGCTCTCTAGTGACAAGCTTACACTTTTAATGTCTTTTTATAAATTTTAAATTATATCAAATGAATCATCGTATTGAAACTCGAAAGATTTCATGAAATTTATGAAGTATATAAAATTTTATATAATTTAACAACTAATTAATATCTTATCATTTCATTTTATTTTAACATATAATGCTCTTAAAAATAACCAAAGTTCTGTAATTAGATTAGATTACTAATCCACAAGTTTCTAACTTAATTGTGTACATGAATCAAGTATGTGGATTAAGTAGTACAGAATTCCAAATTGATGAGTTGTATTTTGAATATATCGTTGTTTTAAATACTTAAATAGAGTTTTTTCTTTTATAGTAGACTCATTCAACTCGAAAAAAATTATCTTTTGTGAAAAATATTTTCATTTGCAAAAAAAAAAATCGTTAGGAAAGAATCATGATACAGATATTGAATTGATAAAACTAACATTTTAAAAAAATAAAATACAAACTTGCCACTTTTGTTAATTAATCCTATCTTTTTATACGTAAAATAACATTAAACAATTTGAAAGTTTCAAAGCCTTTATATTTCTTCAGTAAGTATAAACTAAAGTTGAATCTTTAGAAAGTAGAAACACAATCTGTCTTAATTTACTTACGTGCAACACTTGACCCAACAAAACATGTGACAGAATCAAATAATGACTAAAATTTGTCAGTGAAGCGATGGGATAATAAGAGTTGTCTTTGACATGCATCCTGCTAGAATCAGATACTCCATACGCCTAACCAAATATAGCTCTTCAAATGTGTGTTTTTATTTTTTTATTTGATGAAATTAATTTGGAGATGATTGACTAGTTTTTTTTTTTTTTTTTTAATGAATTCTAAAGTCTCAAAAACTCTAAACAATGGAGGAGGAGAGGCACGCTACTTCAATGAGAAGATGAATAAGAGTCACAAACAGGATTCCTTAATAAAAATTCATAAGAAAAAATTTCTACAAAAGAGAAAATTAACACTTTTGGAAGAGAACAAATATGATTTATATATAAAATGCAAAAAATTAGATCTAAGCAACAAAAATACTATAAGATATATAAAAATCACTAGACAACACAAAAAAGTGAAGAGAAAACTTTCATGGAAGAACCAAAACTCATGATACCAAATATGATAAATTTAGTTTGGAGATAATTGGAGAATCTCTTCAACTAGTTTCTTTTATGCTCCTTATCTTCTTCCATGGATCCTAAAGCTTTAAAAACTCTAAACAACGGAGGAGGAGAAGAGGTGAGAAGATAAACATGTAAGAAAAAACTTGCCACAAAGAGAAATTTTTTGATAAAAGTTCATAAGGAGAGAATTTTTCCAAGAGAAAGAACTAAGACTTTTAAAAAAGAACAAATCTGAATTTTTTCTCAAATGGCTTAAAAATACACGCCAATGTAGGTTACAAGTATATATAGGATTTGGTAGCTTGTGGTGTAAGTTAAGCTAATTTAAATTGAATTAACTTGAACTCAAGAATACTAACCCTAGTTTAAAATTCAAATATGGCCAAGCTCCCTCCAAATGTCATTATCTTAGATCTAGAATGGTTAGTGAGAGCTTGTCACATGGCGAGACAACGAAAGTGTGACTCATGCAACCATCCTAAATCTAGAAGAGCCAATGGAAGGTTGCCACTTAGCATGGTGTGTAAAGTGTGACTAAATAAGACTATGTGATATATTGACTTCTTAAATGGCTTAGGAGACATCCTTGTCCCCTTTAGGTTGGACGTTTAACACACTTGCATAAACAAGTGAACGTCCCACAAGAACCAAGATAGGATGCTCTTTGACCATTCAAGTCCAACAAGTCCAAATAGTCTTTTCTAGTTACACCTCGCTTAAATTACTATTTATTTTCCTAAAATAAAAATACAAGGACACACTATTTGACTACAAATACAAGATAAAAAATAAGAAAAATATTTACAAGAAAAAATATACAAAAAGAGAAAATGGACTAAGTAATTAACTTTCAACTCAAAAGGAGCTTAGACTTTCTACCTTCACTATTAACCCATTAGTCTTGTATCTTCCTTGATATTATCCTTATGATAGGTCATTTGTAAGACAATATGTCATCATTAATTAACTAATTTTGGATGGAGAATCTTTTTTAGTGTTAATCAAGTATCAACAAGTTATTAATTCAAATGATATTACTATTATTCTCAATTTTTTTTAAATAAAGTATCAAATTCAAATCTTGAAAGAAAAAAAAGAAGAAATATTGATGAAAAAAAGAACTAATTAAAAGTTGTGAGTTGGTAAAAACAATGTTAGCCACATTATTTCTAAACTCTTGTAACTTTTTCTCTTTTATTGGCTAACAATAACGTGTTTGAAAGGAGTGTCTGCATATTCTTCTTTAACTGTTATTCCCCACACGCGTAATGTTTATGACATTATTCGTTGTGGATATTATATTCACGAAATCTCATAAGTGAAGCATTCGTGGTCAATCTCAGCATATATTAGTGGTTGAATTTGTAACACCATGCTTCGGGGAATAAAAACTCGTCCACTCTTTCTGCCGAATTCATTTCTTTTCAATCTTTCACAATGTTTAAAATCGTGAACATTTTTCTTCTAATAACAACATGTGGACTCTGCATTTTTTTTATATTACATATATACATTTCTTGCTAAACAGTTAACAGTATCGGATTCTTGTTGATTTCCCACATGCACAAACAAATAAATAAATAAATATATATATATATATATATAGATATATATATAATTTCCATTTTGGTATGTTAATACTTGATTGGGACATGTTGTAGTAGTGAACTGCTGAAGAAAACTATTTAGCATTATGATTGATTATATGCCAAAGTTTGGATAGGATAACATTATTGTAGGTTACATCTTATCCGATTCCTAGGTCAAAATGGCATATGCAAAATGGAAATATTATGGTTTGTACATGGTCCGATATGCTTACCCTTGTGTACTCATTCATTTCTACCTTACCTCAGATTTATAGTATCTAATAATGGCCACTTAAAAGAAGGCGAATCTCATATTTTAAGGAGAAATGTTGTATTTGAGCATGAGCTCAAGTAGCAAGCTATATATAATGAGTCAGTATGCTAAAACTTAAAAAAATATTATAAAATAACTCATAAAAATTATTACTTCAAGTGATTTTCCGTTTATGGTTTTTGACCAAGGATTAGAATTCAATCCTTAACCAAATAAATTCTATCTCCTTAACCAAGAAGCTGATAAAATTTGCTTTTAATAATAAAACAGAAATGGCATATTTTGAACTAAACAGTTTAGACAAACATATTAAAAATATAAAAAAAACTACTTATTTTATTAAAAAATGCTTTTTTCTTAATTTTTCTTAAACAAATAGATCCAATATTACAAGATAAAAAATGTTCTGTAAAATATTGAAGTCACATTTGCATATAGCTCAATTTTAGTTAGGTTGTACTTACTAAAATTCTTCAATAAATTAAGAATAATGTTACATGTACAACAAAAATTGTAACACCACTTTTGTATCTATCTTTCTCAACCACTTCATTTATTATGAAAAGAAATATTATTAATGATAAAGAGAGATATACAAAAGTGATGTTGTATAGTTTTTGTTGTACATGTATAATTACTTATACATTAATATATATTAATGCAATAATCGTAACATATTATATAGTTTTGACCTTGTATGAGATCATATCTTGCTATAATATAAACTCTATATCAAAAGCAGAATTGGATTGGCTACTTTGTTGAACTATGAATAAGGGGAAACACAACAATATCTTTAAAAGTAGAGAAATCATATTTGTATAATAGTTTTGTGTAACTTTTTTTAATAAGAGATAGGAAGATAAGAGAGAAATATGAGATAAAATAAGTGATACTTGTAACATTCTTCAAATTTAACGT